GGGGACATCGCTGCAGTGGAGAAACCTACAAACCGACAAGTAGGTCGGTGCCGGGTCTCATTTGAGCGCTTGCTGTTGCTGCAGTCACCACACCGGTCTTCGATGGATTCGAATTCTCGTCAAGTGCCACTTCGCTCCGATCTTCCTTTATACCCCCTCGCCACGTCCTCGCCTCGACACGGCGCGCCCGGGGGGCCAGCCTAGCCTGCCCTGCCCGCCATCGGGCGGCTGGCCGTCACAGGCGACGGGGCGGCTGTCGGCGAGTTTTGTGGCCAGTGGAGCGATAAACCCGCGCTCCCGAGTTGCGGGATTCCGCGGCGAACCGAGCGAGCTGTGCGCGGGCGGGCTGGGCGGAGCGGGACGGGCGGGGACGGGCTAGGGCGGGGAGCCCGGATCGAAAGGGAAGGCGTGTGGATAGCCAGGTAGCGACTGGGTGGATGGGAAAGGTGCTGCAGCGGGCCGGGTGGAGTTGGCGAGAAGACGCCTGAGTTGAGCACAGAGCCAAGCACGCGTTGACTCTAAGTGACCTGATGGGAAGGATTAGGGTTCGAAGTCCGTCGGAGGGAGAATATTGGCACTAGCTGATATAGCTGAGTCGAAATTCATCCTGCGTTCTTGAGGAGAATCTAGCGGCAGGCTGCTTTGATTGGTATTTTTAAAGTTTTCAAATATACCCAGGTGAATGTTGGAAAGTACCTCCAACAAAACGGGCGAAGAACCCGCGCTAATATTCTTTCCTAGTTCCTAGACGCTTGTACTGTTGCCACCTTTACTTAACTTACACGCATTGCTCTACACTATTAAACTGCGAGAGACCCCAGCTGGAATTTGGGAGACTTTAGTACGGGGGCCAAGACGTAACCCGTGGGGGGGGGGTACTACTCAACCACCCACACACCAACACCCACCACCACAAAACATCCACATCAACATCCACCATTCACACCACACACCAACACCACCACACCACACCACACAACACAACACAACCAAACACACCGACGCCGACGCCGACGCCGACCGCGCACGCCGGCCGCGGCGACGCCGACGCGACGCGAACGCCGACGCCGACGCCCTACGCGACGCCGGACGCGACGCCGACGCCGACGCCGACGCCGACGCCGACGCCGACGCCGACGCCGAGCCGGACGCGACGCGACGGCGGACGCGACGCGACGCCGGCCGGACGCCGACCGCGACGCCGGACGCCGGACGCCGCGCCGACGCGAGCCGACGCGACGCGCGCCGACGCCGACGCGACGCCGACGCCGACGCCGACGCCGACTGCGACGCTGACGCCGACGCGACGCCGACGCGACGCCGACGCGACGCCGACGCCGACGCCACGCGACGCCCGACGCGACGCCGAGCCGACGCCGGCCGACGCCGACGCGACGCCGACGCCGACGCGAGCGACGCAGACGCCGGACCCGACGCCGACGCGAGCGACGCCGACCGGACGCCGACGCCGAGCGACGGCGACGCGACGCCGACCCCCGAGGCGACGCCGACGCCGACGCGACGCGACGCCGACGGGTCGACGCCCGACGCTGAGCGCGCCGACGCGACGCCGACGCGCGAGCCGTATCGCCGACGCGACGCCGCGCGACGCCGACCCCACGCGGGACGCGGGGCGCAGCACGCCACGGTCCCACGCCGACGCCGACGCCGACGCCGACGCCGACGCGACTCATGCGCACGCCACGCCCACGCCAAACCAGCAAGGCACCGTCCCAGCGTGGACAAGCAAGCTCCCCTAGTCAGTCTCCCGACATGTACGTTAGTGTAGAGCGTGTGCGTGTGCTTGTGAGTGTGTAGAAGGTGAAAGGAAAATACAAGGATGAGAGCTGGTTGCTTGTGTGACTACTGTATCCTGTTTGTTTAGGTACTAGTCCAGTATTCGTCTGGTACTGATAGGAGAAACCACGGCAATCTATTATTTAGAGCAGCTGGCCGCTAGATTTCTTCTTTAGACAGCGGCTGATTTCGACGTAGCTTTTTATTTAATGTCGAAAATCTGTCTGCGTCTACTCTCCAAGTTTAGAACCTCCCGAAAGATAGAGAGCATGGGG